TGTGTCCGAGAGAGTCACGGCGGTTTGGGAATCTTGTGACCCGCCTTCCCATACTTTCTTCCTCATGCACTGCGCAGCCTCCAGGCCCCAGACTTCCTCTCACTTCTGGCCTTTGCTCATCCTGTCTTTCAGCCTTGTTAATCCCCACCGTCCTTTCAACTTTTCTCTGGAGGGCGGGTATAACACATCCAGGAGAATAAGCGTGGAGCCTGCTTTAAACTGCCGAAACTTCAGTAACCATTAATTAATTAAAGACGAGAAAGCGGCCTACTGTCCGGAAACCTCCCATCCATCCTACCATCTCCAGTCTTGGTGCTCTATTCCCAGCACGCCTGACCCCGGCTCTCCAGCAACCATTGGTGGCTCTTCCTTTAGTTAGCGCCAGAGACCGGGAATGCAGCCCCAGTCTCTGTAGTTCAGTGTCAAGCGTGTGCGTCGTCTCCTAACCCTGACTGGTTTTTGGTTTGTTTCTGAGTCAGGGTCTCCTAGCACAGGCTGGCCTCAGACAAGGATGACTTAGAATCATGGATACCCCTGCCTCCACTTCCCCGGTGCTGGGGTTTATAGGCCCGTGTCTTCGTGCTTGGTTTTATGCAGTGTAGGGGACCGAGCCCAAAGCTTCATGCATGGCAGACACCACCAATTAAGCTACGCTTTCAGCTCTTGATGTCTTTAAAAGTAAGTCAGCTGTATGCTATTAAGATGCCCTCCCCCACCCAGTTTTGGAACAGAATTCTTTCCCACAATAGTCCGTATTTGTGAGATTTGTTATTTTTCTCAGGTAGACTTTGACATTTCAAACATGGGCATTTCAGACACAATGTAACACTTTATATAGCTTAGTAAAAAGAAAGAATAGATATTATATTAATCCTTAAGAGAATTCAGCCGATTTTATTACTAATTTCTCCCCCTGTAGCACTTTAACCTCTAAAAACCCATTGATTGTTGGGGGAAGTGCCCCAGAATTTATTAGATTGATACAGTTATACAAAATGTAGCCTGACTTTTTTTTTTTCCAGACAGGGTTTACTCTGTAGCTTTGGAGCCTGTCCTGGAACTAGCTCTTGTAGACCAGGCTGACCTCGAACTCACAGAGATCCGCCTGCCTCTGCCTCCCGAGTGCTGGGATTAAAGGAGTGTGCCACCACCCAGCTACAAAATGTAGCCTGATTTTTCTATCTCTTCACCCTGTGCCTTTCCACCCCTTTCTTTATTTCCGACAGGCCTTGCTATGTAGCTCAGGCTACCCCTCAGGCTTCCAGTCTTCCCATCTCAGCCTTCTAAGACCTCGGTTTCTAGGCGCACGGCACCCTGTCTCCCTCTTTCCTTTCAACATCTATTTCTGACCAGGTACGTATTAAGCCTTGTTGGCTTTCAGTGCATTCTCTGTAGACCTTCATTCCCGGTCTTCTTGAATGTTCTCTAACACTTGTTACAATTGTCCTCTGTATTAACCCTGTGCTCTCTGCTGGCTGCTGTCTCACGTCTGCCAGCTTCACTCTCCTTGCTATTGTTGAATTCTTCTCTCTATGGCTGTCACCAACTCAGCCCAGGACACTAGCTGGGCCCATGCTCCCTCCTTTGAAGCCTTTATCTCCTCCAGACCACCACTTCCGGCCCGAACTGCGAAGAGGAGAATGGGCTGGGTTTAAAGAAGGAAGGGACGTGGGCCGTGACCAACCTTGGAGCTAGAGGTGCTCTCATAGGAGGGACAGTGACAGCTGTCTTTCTGTGAGCCCTGACGAACCACAAGGTCCCCTTAGGTAGTGTTCTGTCGCTTGCTTTGCTGTCTAAACGCCTGCCTGATTCAGCAGCATTAGAATTCCTGCTTGCAGTCAGGGAGGCAGCTACACCAGGACCCGTGACCCAGGAACTGGGTCTAGCGAGGCTTGTATGCCCAATCATTATGCTTATGAATTTCCCCGTTGAGATGTAAGGTGTGGAAGACCAGAAAAGCCCAGAGAGGGCAGGGACAGCAGAGAGAACAGGAGAACAGGCCCGGGGAGGAGTAAAGAGAACAGGAGGGGGAGGAACCTGGGAAGTTTAAGCCGTTTGTTTTCTGATTAGGTTTGTGTGCATGTGTATGCGTGTATTTGAACATGTGCACACACACGCGTGTGAGCTCGAGTGTGCGCAGGGAGAGCAGAGGTGGACACAGGTTATCCCCCACAACTATTTTCCACCTTAGTTTTTTGCGACAGGCTTCTGTCTGGATTCGGAGCTCATGGGTTGGTTAGGCTGGGTGGACAGTGCTCAACAGGGGTCCGCCTGTCTGCCCCCCCATCCAGTGCTGGGAGTCCAATGGACACGCCAGGCTTTTGTGCGGGATCCAGTCCTTGACATGGGTTGCCAGCACTTTGCTGACTGAGCCATCTCCCCAGCAGCTGGCTAGATGTTTGAGGAGAAGGCTGAGAAGAGACTAGGGAGCTCACCCGTAGCAGAAGAACAACTCGAAACTTTCAGCCTTGGAATGAAAATAATATTTCATTCTCCAAGAACACGGATGCTACTATGGGAACTCCGCACGACAGACTTCGCCATGGAATGACTCTCTCTCTCTCTCTCTCTCTCTCTCTCTCTCTCTCTCTGTGTGTGTGTGTGTGTGTTTGTGGTAGAATTAATGGGAAATAAATAAATTGTTCAAGATAACTTGTAACATAGTGTAGGGACTTGCAGTTTTTAAAGTGCTCCTCCCCCCTTTAAACTTTATTCTCTGTTCCACGGTTTCCATTTGGGAAAGTAAGAGACAGGGCTCATTGTGGATACACACAGCTGTCACCAGACCATTTTGTTTCTGCCTAGGTTTCTCACTGTGTGGTGGTCTGGCAGCCAGGGGCGGGCACTATTCATGTTTTCTTCCAGCAGTTCCAGGAAGGGATGGTCGGTGCCAAGCAGAGGGCTGGCATGTGTTAGCCCACCCAGACTCACTATCGTCGACGCTGGAGTGGCAGGCAGGTGGCTGTCAACGACGGGAGGAGAGAGGCAGGGAGATGAAGGGAGGAGGGGGCGGAGCCGGGCTGGTACACAGAGTCCTGGCTTCTGAAGCCAAGGCAAAGGCAAGACCAAAACAAATGGGCAAACAAAACCCCCAAACAAGAACATGCGGGAGAACCGGGAAGAAACGGGGCCAGGAGACCAGGCGCCTGCAGCAAATAGGAAGCAGATGCTGCCAGAAGACGCGAGTCTGCTTTCGCGTTAGCGTGCGCGCGCAGGGCAAGACCCTGCCTGTGCTTTACGACGGAATTACGCTTTTGCAGCGTCTAGAGCAGAAGGTGGGAATTATATTTCTTTCATGGAGAGAAGGGTTTCTGCTAACAAGAAAACGAAACTGTTGAGGAAAGGCTGTGTGTGTGTCTTCTCGATGAGAAGGTAATCGCGTTTATGTGCATTTGTTAAAGGTGCTAATATCTTGGATTGGTAAGAATCAGAAAAAAACATCAAGTCCGGAAAGTTCTACAGCCCTGAAGTGAGCGGTGCACCAAAATCTTAAAGCGCAGATGAAAATGGTTCTGACCTAAGCTTCACAAACAGTTAAGAAGGGCACTTTCTTTTTCTTTTTCTTTTTTCAATTCTATGCATTTGCCACCCCAAACAGTCTGCTTTGGTAAGGAAAAGCAACGGAGCGAACCCCACTATGGAAGCACCCCAACACAGGGATTTTTCTCAGATGGCTTTTTTTAAGGCATGTAAAAATTCGTGATTACTGGCTACTTTTCCATCAGCGGAGCCAAAACCCGTTTAAAATTCACACAACAAAGAAGAACATTTAGACCATCTCCGCTCCTTCTTCAGACAGCCTTATCCTTACTCTGATCAAAATAGCTAGGTAAACATGTTTGGAGCACTGGGACTGCTCTTAGGGTCTCTAGAAGGCGTCTGCTTGCTGGCCAGCTCAGTTTTTGACAAAGAAAAATGGGCTGCTCTTGCTTCGTGCACAAAGATGCACTGTTTTCAGAGCAAACCAAAAAAAAAAAAAAAAAAAAAAAAAAAAAAAAAAAAAAAAAAAAAAAAGGAAGAAGAAAAAAAAGAAAAAAAAGGGTGGGGGAGTGGTAGGGAGAGGGGAGAATAAAATACAATATCTAGTAGGATAATTTAATTAGCATAAACGCTATGAATTAATGAAATGTATAGCTTCAGAGAATTAAAATTATGCTTTGCTATAAGAACTTAATACTAGTTATTTAGAAAACTCGGCAAGCTAGTTTCTCTAAATTTCATATTTTTTTCAGCACATCATAATTAAAGCTGCAGTTTGTTTGAAACACTGTTACGTCCTTGTGTCTACAGGACACGTGTCTCTAACAGCATTCAGTTTTCACAAGCAGGGGGGCAGAGCCCTCCGTGAAGCTGCGCTGCCTCAGCCCCTTCCCCAAGCCGCCTTCTGGGTTTATTTATGCTTCCAACTTTTTGGAACAGAGTTTCTCTGTTAGGGATGGAGCAGCCAGCTGAGGAAGTGGCTTCCAGAAGGCTGCTTTTTTTCCCCTTAAAAAAAACAAACAAACAAAAGAACTTTTTTTTTTTCAACTTTAGTTTGGTCAAACGTATCACACGAGTAACACAATCACGAAATTCAACACACTGGCCACCTCAGAATTGCCCTGGCCAAGTTTTCCACACCGCATACAAGTTGTAGCCCTGCCCACAGCCGGCCGTCCTGTGCCTTTCAAATCTTTTCAAAACACAAGCTGTCATTAAGACCACAGCAATTTGGCCTGGAAATCAAGCGTTTGTCCTATTTGCTTTAAAAATGAAAGGAACATTTCCAAACAGTTTTCCTAATTTTGTATAGTACACGAGACACGTTTTTTTTTTTTTTAAAAAAAGCGCAAAAAACAAAACAAAAATCTCCCCAGATATAATTAAGAAACAAAGCGTCATTGTTAGATGGCTCAAACAATGTCATTATGAAAAAGAACTTTTAGAATCCACAGGTCCACACTTCAAAAACCGAGTATTCTCTTATTTTGGAAACAGATAGCATTAGAAGTAAGGAGTACCTTGTAAAGTCAAGTCCAGCAGGGCATATTCATAAGCAAATTCCGTCTTTGTTTCTACTTGCGGTCTCTTCAGGGTAGAAAATATTTTCCCCGGGCTGCTATCGTCAGGGTCTTCCAGCTTCCTAAGTCCGCACCCCATGGCAAAGCCAGCAAGGAGTTAGATTGCGGAAAGAGCCAGGGGAACCGGCGCAGCCAATTTTCTTGTTCAAGCTGCGCAAACCAAGTGCCCGACTTAACTGCTTGGTTTGATTTTCAGCGAAATGATAGATAGCCAGAAAAAACGGCGGGTCCGAGGCGAGGAGCGGGGGACTGTATCCATTCTTCTGTAAAGTCACTGAGCCCAGGGTTTAGCTCCAGGTCCGGGGCGCTGGGCTCGATCTCCGAGGAGCTCGCGAACTGCTGCAACTTAGCGGAAAATTTCCATGCCACGTCAATTTACAGCCAGCCAGCCCCCGACCAGAGCTCTGCCGCTCAGGGCTCGGGGCTTTGTTTCTCCCAGCTGGCTGAATGGAAAAGAGGGGTCCAGAAGCGGAATTAAAGGCAAAGTCCAACTCGGGTGTGGTTATCTGCAGATGGAAGATAGAGTCCGTCAAAGTGATGCCTTCTGTCTGTTTTCTCTCCTCTGTCCTTGCTTGCTCTCTCTCTTCCCTGAGTCTACTAAGAGAGCCAAAGGGAGGGGGGAGAGAGAGGAAGAGAGGAAGGGAGGGGGACAGGGAGGGGGAGTGGGAGAGAGGCAAAGGAAGGAAGAGAGAGAGAGAGAGAGAGAGAGAGAGAGAGAGAGAGAGAGAGAGACTGATTCTCAGTGTGGTTGGAAAGGAAAATCAGTTCCAGAGAGGAAGTGAGCTTTTTGAGGGAACCCTGGAATCCAACAGGAGAACAGAATGGAAAAAGAGAAAGAGAAAGAAAGGAAGGAAGAAAAAAATCAGGATGCCTAAGGTGGACTTTTTGAAAACCTTTCTGCATGGAGTTTCTTTTTGCTAGAAAAATGTGCTGATTTAAACAACCAAGGATAAAAAGCATAAAAAAAACCTTAAGATATTTTCATAAAGACTTGAGGAAGAAAGGTGATAATGGGGCAAATATGATCAAAGTACATACATACATGTATAGAAACGTCATCATGGTCTAAGCACATTACATACATGTATAGAAACATCATCATGGTCAAAGTATATTACATACATGTATAGAAACGTCATCATGGTCCAAGTACATTACATACACGTACAGAAACGTCATCATGGTCTAAGCACATTACATACATGTATAGAAACATCATCATGGTCAAAGTATATTACATACATGTATAGAAATGTCATCATGGTCAAAGTACATTACATACATGTATAGAAATGCCATCATGGTCAAAGTACATTACATACATGTACAGAAATGTCATCATGATCAAAGTACATTACATACATGTATAGAAACGCCATCATGGTTTTATTTTTTTATTTTATTTTGTTCAATTAGCTTGCACTATAAAAAGAAGAAAATCGTTAAAAAGAAAAAAATCTTTACACAATTGCAAAGACGAGATAGTTACACGAGGAATTAATTTACCCAACATTCTTGGTTTATTATTTGATTTATTTATGTGCCTGTATGTGGGTGCCTACATGTGTGCAGGGTCCCTTGGTGGCCAGAAGAGGGTCAGATCCTCTGAGCCTGGAGTAACAAGCGGTTGTGAACCCCCATGTGAGGTCCGGAACCACGACTGGGTCCTCTCTGGAGCAGTCAGTGCTCTCAGGTCTGGGCTGACTCTCCAGCCATGCACCGGTGGCTTAAAATGAGAGCATTTATACTGGTGACGACTGATGTGGAAGGGTCTTCTATCTATTGTTACTTTCATTGGTTAATAAAGAGACTGCCTTGGCCCTCTGATAGGGCAGAAAATTAGGTAGGTGGAGTCAACAGAACAGAATGCTGGGAAGAGGGCAATGAGGCAGATGCCATGGGGCCAGCCACCAGGTCAGACATGCTGAATCTTTCCCGGTAAGTCACCACCTCGTGGTGCTACACAGATTATTAGAAATAGGTTAATAAAGATGTGAGAGTTAGCCAGTAACTAACTCTCTAGAGATAATGGGCCAGGCAGTGTTTAAATTTGTGTGTTGTTATTTCTGGGGCTAAGCTAGCCATGTGGGAGCAGGGTGGGACGAAAAACAGGCCTGCCCGCAGCTCCTCACTACAGACGACAGCAATTCTCTGGGTCTCAAGATGGCCTTACTTAAAACAAAACAAACTTGGATAACCTGACTCATTTAATCTTATAATCTGCCACGTACCCAAGGTCTAGAATAACTTACAAGGAGTCGAGGCGATGTGTGGTTATTGTACTGTGTCCTGTCCAGGTCCAGCCTCCTTATCACCAGCCCTGAATGCAGACTGCTTGTGTGCGGATTCTACTTCTCAGGCTGACCACAGACAGGCTCTTGGGCAAGTGACTTGCCTTCTCCAAGTGTCCCTCATGTTACCTGCTCTGCCATGGGGTGGTTTCAAAGGCCGAACAAGATAGATACTCATGTCTTCTGCCCTAATCTGCCCAGAGAGAGCAATGCGTTTGCCAGTATGTGTACCTTACGGGACTGGACTGACAGTCGCCATAGGAAGGAAGCGATTTTGGCACCACGCTCCCGCTATTTACAAAGTAAACCCCGATCTCCTTGGAGAACTTGGAGAAAGCAAGGCTGAAGGGATTTTTTTCAGTTCATTGAAGTCTACACATGGAAACTCCTCAAAGGGGGCACGTGTGGATTGCTTCGTTTGTATGTCATTGCCATCTCTAGCCTCTTCCTTCGGCCCTACTCCGAAGTGTTTGGTATGGGAGACCATTCTGTAGCCCCCATGGTCAAGGCTGGGCATGGTCGGCGAAAGGGAATTCTGGGTAAACTAGATGAATCAGACAGTAGACCGAGAGAGTGACCAACTTGGCTCTCTACAGAGACTCGTGATGGCCGTATTTCACGTCCACCTTTGTTCTGCTCTTTCTGCTGCAGGAAAACTGGGATCTCTGCCGATCGCTGGTACCAACCACAGTGCTTGTGAAGCTGCTTAGTCAGCACCAGTTACCCCGATCAACTGCCTGCCATTTCTAGGCACTCAGAAACACTGTGTCCAAAAGGTGACCAAATCGGGTCTCTTCCCTAACAGAGCTCAGGGGACTTTGTCCCGGCTGTTTTCAAGGATGAGTCCACGCAGGAAGGACACAGAGACGTGGGCGCACGTGCCTGGAGGAGAGACGTCTGTAACTCAGGTCCGTCGGGAAGCAGTACGGCGTGGGTGGAGCAGCCTGAGCGGTTGGTTACTAGAACATAAAACACGAGAGACTAAGCTGTGAAGATGGGCTCTGAATGCTGTACAAATAGGAGTTAGATTTTATTCTGTAGCTGATAGAAGAGAATCAATCACATAGAATCAAAGGACGGCCATTTTCATATGAGACACGTCACTGATAGAGCCTGAGGAAGATGCTTTACATAGAAGGGAGGGCTGGAAAGAAGGTACCACGTCCACCTGAGAGCTGATGCTGACTGGGTGTAGATTCTTCTTACTCTTATATATGTAGTTACCATAACGTATTCTTATGTGATACTACACTATCATTATGTATGTAGTTACTATTATTATTATTATTGTGTGTGTGTGTGTGTGCGTGTGTGCACGCGCGCATGCATGAAGGCCAGAGGATAGCTTCAACTGTCCCCCTGTTTTTTAAGACAGTGTCTCTCATTGACTGGAACTCACCAAGGAGCCCAGGCTGGCTGGGCAGCAAGACCTAGGCAGCTGCATGCCTCCCCCTCCCTCCCCCCCGGGATTGCTCAGTTTTCCCCACTTTGTTTTAAAATGTGGACTGGAGGCTGGATGCCGGTCCTAGGGCTAGCAGGAGAAGCACTTCATTGCCTTGGCTGACCTGGAAATCACTGTATACACTAGGCTGGCTTTGAACTCACAGAGATCCAGACAGAGTTCTGGGATTAAAGGCATCATTGAATAATTGAATAATCACTTAGGTCATTTTCTCCCTAATGTTGCAAAAGAACAAAATTTTGTTTGAACTCTTTTTGTTTGTTTGTTTGTTTTTTGTTTTGTTTTTTCGAGACAGGGTTTCTCTGTAGCTTTGGAGCCTGTCCTAGAACTAGCTCTTGTAGACAAGGCTGGCCTCGAACTCACAGAGATCCGCCTGCCTCTGCCTCCCGAGTGCTGGGATTAAAGGCGTGCACTACCACTGCCTGGCTCTTGACTCTTAATAATATTTGAAAACCATTTTCATGTATTAATGTGGCATAAGTTCCTGACTTAACAATTATTGCCAGTTCTTCATACTTACAGGTTTCATATGTGGATATTCAAGCAAATGCATATTAGAAATATGTTTCAAAAATTGTACCGTATTGAACACATGCAAACATTCGCTATTGTCCCTGAACACAGAGTCTGACTGCCAGGAGGCATTTCCCCACTACCATTTAATATTAAATGCTATTATGCAACTTAGAGATGATTTGATGTGCTGCAGAGGATGGTGCCTGTTATTCAAACACGACACCGTTTTACAGAAGAGTTGAGCATCCTTGGAGTTTGGTATCTGTGGGAGTCTTGACACCAATCCCTGTGGATTCTGAGGAATATCTGTCACGTCACGGCACTTGAGTACATCCCTACAATACTCAGCGAGTGACTTTTTGGTTATTTTAAGTCTCTACCATGAAAAGTTTTGCACAGATTGTTTTCCCACCCTCGTAATTATTTCTTGAATATGTTTATTCTCCTTCATACGTGGTCGAGTAGTTTATTACTTTTTAAAGTGATTTGTTTGTCTGTAGACAATATATACAAACTTAAGGGCCACAAAATAGGAGGGAACTCAAGTCTGGTGTTGTAAACCCAGCAAACTACAGGTGTCTGGTGAGATTATGAACTCAAGAGGAAAACCCATGGCTATTGGCTTTTCCTAAACCAGAGTAAGCTCTAACTTCCCTCTAAATCCTTATCCTTGTACCCACGGATCGGTGTAGCCGTCACCCTTCATCAGCAAAGGTTTTGCAACAGAGAGACATCATACAAACCCATAACTGGTCAAAATGCAGCGGACAACTCACTCTGGGGGCCTTGTAGACAATTGATAGATCTATACAACCTGATACCTAAGTGCCACGGACCATCACGGAGGGGGGGCAGAAAATCTGCTACAAGAGTGTGTCTTATAGATACGATGGGGAAATCGAGCCCTTGAAATTGCAACAGTATGCCTTCTAAAACGAGACCTTAACAAGGACAACATGAGTAGGAAGGCCAGTGTTGATGGGGGAAATCTAGAGGGGTCCCACCTCTAAATGAGGAGCTACAGGCTGCTGAAAGAGGGAGAATTAGCCTTCCCCGGGGGTGAGCCCCCTAAACAGTTCTCCAATACTCAGTGGCCAACCCTAAAAACATACATGCAAGCAATATGCAATGGACACCCTGGGTCGTGTGTTTGTGTAATATATATGTGTGTGTATGGATGTGTATAAACTTGAGATGGAGTGGGAGAGACATGGGAAAGGATTGGAGAGAAGAGAAAGAGGGTGAATGAGATAATTATATTTTGATTGAAAATAAAAGTGAACAAAACAGCAGGAACCATCCTGCATCCAAGAAACGCCTGGGGGGGCTCGAGAGATGACTCAGTGGTTAAGAGCATTGCCTGCTCTTCCAAAGGTCCTGAGTTCAATTCCCGACAACCACATGGTGGCTCACAACCATCTGTAATGAGGTCTGGTGCCCTCTTCTGGCCTGTAGACATACACACAGACAGAATATTGTATACATAATAAATAAATATTTTTTTAAAAAGAGAAGCGCCTGGAAGCACAGAAGACAGACTCTACCTCTGGAGACAGGATAGGAGAAGGTGTTCCAGGCCAGTGATCTGGGAGGCAGAAGATGTCACTGTTCTAATATCTGACAAGACTGACCAGACAAAAAAAGCTTGCGAGGAAAGATAGATAAGGCCAATTTAGCTACTGTGATTGTCTTTGGTTGCCTGCTAGAATATGAAGGTCAAACCCTACTGCTAACAGTGTCACACACTTTGGTCATAGCTGATCCTGACGGGAAGCCTTCTGCCTGAAGGCTAGTTCATCCTGCCAGAAGGTGCTACGCGAACTCTCGAGGGAGAAAGGACATTAACAGCCCCATTTAGCTGTGAAAATTGAGGACCATGACAATGGGACAAGATTTCTCCAGTGGTGCAATCAATAGCCGTACTTGTTCATTGGGAGCAGCAGCCATCTTGTGGATCCAGTGCCTTCTCAGTTGGATGGAACTGATGCCCAGGGCTGTAAACCTAGTCAAGAACACACGGCTGGAGAGGATATAGCTGTTGTCACCCTGATAGCAAAGAGCAAATACAGACACAAAAAGAAAATGATGGATGAATTTCTCTGATAAAAAAATGATTATTATTTGTTCATAAAAATGATCAAAAATTCACTGGCTGCTCACCCAGAGGTCCTGAGTTCAATTCCCAGCAACCACATGGTGGCTCACAACCATCTGTAATGAGATCTGGCGCCCTCTTTTGACCTGCAGGCAGACATGCAGGCAGAATACTGTATACATAATAATAAATAAAATCTTTTTTTTTTTTTAAAGAGCTAGTTAGAGACAAACCTAAACTATTGACTGAGCTTTAAAAAAATGATCAAAAACAGGGCTGGAGAGATGGCTCAGTGGTTAAGAGCACTGGCTGCTCTTCCAGGGGACCCTGGTTCAATTCCCAGCACCCACATGGCAGCTCACAGCTGTCTGTAACTATAGTTCTAGAGGGTCTGGAACTCTCACACAGACATACATGGAGGCCAAGCATCAATGCACAAAATAAAAGTAAAAAAAAAATCATTAATAAGAGTCATTAGGCGGCGGTGGTGCATGCCTTTAATCAGATCTTTGAGCCAACCTGGTCTACAGAGCAAGTTCTAAGACAGCCAGGACTCCTGATTAAAAAAAAACTCAGAACAACAACAACAAAAGAATTATCGACAAAATACTTGCAAATCAAATTCAAGAACATAAAAGGATCAGTCACCTGGTCTGAGATACAACGATGGTTCACCAACCTCAATAAATGTTGTGATTTCATAACTGTGCTCAGGGACGGAAGTCACACGGTCATTTTGATAGAAGCAGCAAAGGCTTTTGATAAGCTCCACCACCCCTTCACATTAAAAGTCCCGAAGGAACGAGGAATATAAGGAACATATCTCAACATAATAAAGGCTACATATGGCAAACCTGTAGTGACTATTATATCCAATGGGGAGAAATGAAAAGCATTTCTATTAAAATCATGTTAGAGCGTTCACTGTCTCCACTTTTACTCAGTATATTACTGTAGGGCTTACCCAGAGTGATAAGACAAGAAAAAGGTAAGAAAGGGGACAGAAATGTGAAAGGAAGAGGTCAGAGTACATAGCTACTTACAGATGATATGATTCAATACATAGGAAACCCTAGAGACTCTATCAGAAACCCTTAGCACCGGACAAACACGTTCAGCAAAGTGGTAGGGGACAAAGTCAGCACATAAGAACCAATAACCTTCCTCTGTGTCATTAACAAGCATTGAGAAAGCCATCAGGAAAACACGTTCACAACAGCCTCAAACGTTCCCTTGAATCCAACCTACCTAAGGACACAGAAGATGGCTGCAATGCTTCAGCGCGGGTGAAATACACAGAGGGGGTGGAGCTGGAAAGGCTCGGGTTGGAGGAGCCGAGCCTGGGAAGCAGTCACCCACAAAAGGCACTGCACGGATATACAATATTTGTTTAACTGCCCACCAGAGATGAACGGTTGAGTGGTCCCAGTTTCCAGATATGGTAACATTGGCGATTTAACTCTATACTCATTTGACTGACCAAAATGAAAACAGATAATACCAAGTACTGATTTTTTCTTTTCAAGGAAAGGTTTCTCCTCAGACTGTAAATTTATTTAATCCTGTTGGAAGAAACTTGACATTATATTGTGAAGTTGAACAGTAACTTTTTTTTTGTTATGATCTAGCGATTTGGTTCCCGGGTGTAGGCTCAAGAGAAACTTCAGCGCATAGGTACCAGGAGAGACATCTGAGAATGTGAAAAGTAATACTGTTCTTAATTGCCCTAAGTGTGAACCGCTTGTGTATATGAACAGCCATTCCCTGCAGGGAATTCCGTTCCACAGGGAAGGGAAAAGCTATCGTAGAGTCTCAACATTTTATTCATAAGATGGGAGACAAATAGTTGTTGCTTTTTGCCAACTCGATATAAGCTGGCGTCATCCAGGGAGAGCGAGCGTTCAGAGACACTCCCTCAGACCATCTGTGGGCAAGCCTTTGGGACAATTTTTTAAATTAGTGATTATTGTGTGAGGACCCAGGTCATTGTGGGCAATGCCACCCTGGCAAGGCAATCCTGAGCGGTATAGGAAAGCAAACTGAGCAAGTCGTGGTATCAAGCCAGTAAGCAGCCCTCCTCCATGGCTTCTGCCTCAGTTCCTGCCTCCAGGTTCCTGCCTTAAGTTCCCTTCACCATGGACTGGAAAGAGTAAGGTCATCCTTTCCTCCTCGAACTGTTATTTTTTTTTCATGAAGTTTATTACAGTGATAGAAACCAAACCAGGACAGAGAGCACGCTTGCAAGCTGAAGTTGATTTCATGGCAATGGGAAAGACAGAAATAATCGACGGAAAACCTGATTTGCCAATTGGATTTTTTTTTTTTGGTTTTTTGAGACAGGATCTTGTCTTTGAAAAACCAAAAACAACAACAAAAAACCCCCCAAAAACAAAACAAAACAAAAACCACACCAAAGAAAACGAAACAAACAAAAACCCCAATAACAAACAAGAATAAAACAAAGCAGACAGACAGAAACAAAAGAAAACAAAAACAAAGAAACAAAGTAGGAGAAACACAGATTAACCCCCTCCCCCTCAATAAAAACACAAAATCCGAAACTATAATAGATAAGTAAAAGGCAAGTAAGGAAAAAGCTGCCCAATCGAAGCGCTATGAAATACAGCATCTCCGAGACAGCTGCCAAGTTGGCTTTGTGTCGGCCATCTTCTACTGCGCGTGGGGCGTTCGGATAACTAGTAAGACTCGAGTGGAGAAACTAATTTTGTCTTTGCAAGTGGGTTAGGGATGCGAGCTTGTGTCCACGTCACCGCTCAGCGCTGGGACCCCGTCAGCCCCGTGTGTGCTGCGGGTCTCTGTGTGTGCGTACGAGTGTCAGTTATGTCTGGAAGGCGCTGTTTTCTTGGTGTCTCCCATCCTCCTTGGGTCTTCCCTTCTCTTCCTCCAGCTCCCTGAGCAGCCCTAGAGGAGGGTGTGGTGGAGACATCCTACCTCGGCTTCTCACTCAGCACACTGTACCGGTGTGGGTCTCTGTGTGCTCCAGTCTCCTGCAAAGGAAGCTTCTCTGAGGATGGCCGAGTGAGACACTGGTGATGTACACAGCGGATGCTGTTCGGACTCACTTTACTCTGTCCCTTCAGCAGAACAATAGCATTTGATGTTTCCCTAGAGGCCGGGCCTGTCTAGTCTCAGGGTCTCGGCCATCTGAGAAGTGTCAGGGACGGGTCTCATTGCATTGAGATAGAGGTTGGTTACCCACACTTTTCCCCAGTGCTTTTCTGTCCCTAAAGCGCCCTCGGAAATCACTTTCTTTCTTTTCGTATTTGTTTAGATTCTGAGATAAAATCTAACTGGTTTTTCGGATGGGCTGGATTTGGGTTCTGCAATATGCTAGCTAATGAGTTTGGGAAAATGCTTCAGTATAAAAATCCTGCCAGCAAGCTCAGTCCAGAAGCGGAAACAGATCCCAGCGTGCAAAACTGCAGCTCAGAACACGACACGCAGGACGCGCCCGCCCACCCGCCCGGACTCGGAACCCGGGACCCCGGGACTCCAGCAGCCCAGCGCTCAAATCCTCCCGCCGACCGGCAGCCCTTGCGCGCCGCAGGAAGCCTCAAGGGGGTGGAGCCGTGGGCGGGGCCGCAGGAGCCCGCGCCCGCCGGAGTCCCGGGGTCCCGGGTTCCGAGTCCGGGCGGGTGGGCGGGCGC